TGAGACCAGGGATATATGCTTGAGACCAGGGATATATGCTTGAGACCAGGGATATATGCTTGAGACCAGGGATATATGCTTGAGACCAGGGATATCTTGAACAATTCGCCATGTCAATTCACATGTACAACAAGTGGAAGAGCAAAGAGGCGGTTGGAAATACATATCTTCGCGGCATAGACAGTCCATTAACTCCCACCGTTTCCCCCTAAATGGATGTTTTGGAGCTACAGAGTTCATTTGTGGCCGCTAAGCAGGTGTGGCCCGATACGATCTGAAACATGCTTGGATATTTTGCGCAAGGCTCTTGGTAGTGCTGACTGGATTTCATGAAATGTATAGTAGACAATCGGATATCCAGATAATGTTCTTATGTTCTTTTTTCTGCCAGGTCTACCCTAGCTGAAACCCCCTACGACTCGTCAGGGTATTTGACCTGGGACAGGTCTTTTCCTGTTGCCAATCGATCTTTCTCGCCAGTATTATTCCAGCACTTGGACGCAATCTCGTGCAAGATGCGGATCCATGCATAGCGGTGCTCTTGACCGTGCCAATTGTCGGGCAGATTGCTCATGCTCAAGGCGACGTTGCTGAACTGCTCGTCTTTCTTGCTGATCTTGACCGTGACCACACAGTCGTTGCCGTCAGTCCATTCTTTGGACAGCCAAGAGTACTCGATCACATAGGGAAGTTGAGAATCATCTATCTTCAGAAATTCTCCATAGTGAGGCCAATGACCCCCATCGCCGCCCTGGTCATACCATCCCCAATCGTCCCAGCGAAATTTGCCGCCCACGCGCGGATCGAGTTTACGATAGCCGTTTCCAACCCAAGGCCCTCGACGGTCGTTGCCGTCTAGCCAGATCTTGAAGATTCTGTCAGGGGTGCCCATGACCGGATATTCCTCTGTGAAAGTGTAGGATCCCATCGTTATTATTTTCCGGGTAGCAGTCGCAAGGTGTCTCGACCTGGTTGCTTGCTTGCTTGTACGCTGAGGTGTTCTTGACTTTGTGTTCGATGCTGATCAACTTGTCTGGAGGAGTCGGCAAAGCTGGCTTGATTGGATAAATAACAATTTCTTCTCTCCACAGGAAGGGAGACCCAGTGGCTGCCCGAGGAGTCCAAACAGTCCAAAATGACAGCCTCACGTCACTCCGGAGAGTGCGGAGAAGAGAGGGGCAAATGGCCTCGGTAGCTTCCTTTGGGGGAAAGGTGCTTCGATCTGGGGGTGGACGGGCCTGAACTGTGATCGGCTCATGGTAGCTCTTGGAATTTTGGTTCACCTACCAGCGCCACCATCTAGCCGGAGTCGCATGTAGATATTTCCTTGGAACTCCGACTCATCCGAACGCGGCAATGAAAAGCCGATGGTTGGATGACAGTCTGCTGGGGCTGGGCCGAGTATGAACTGGAGTCGAACGGCAAGCCACGAAGGCACCATCGTTCATAAGGGCCTGCTACTTTTACGATCGATTTTCGTTCCGGGCACGTCGACGTATTTCGGGTAACTTTCAATCCACCCCGATTCCTGTCGGCGTCGGTATCCTTCGGGGCTGGTGATCTAATCGCTTCATGCCGGTCGCTTCGGCAATTGCTCGAGCAAGGAAAGGTGTTTGGACAAGGTTTACGGTCAGCCGAAAGCCTGCGTGGTTTTTTGGAGAGACAGCAATGTCAACCCAACCACTACTGGGCCAACCGCCTATTGGACCACCCCCAACTGCGCCTACCACTCCACCATAGACACCTCCACAGACAAATCCACCTGCTAACCAGAGAAAACAACCAACAGACATGGTCGACATAACAGCTCTCAGTGGGCGGTATCTTAAGGGTCAGATCCTCCACGCATTCCGCGATACGCCCCGTTAAAGAGACAGTCCAACAGGTATTATCAAGCAAAGCGGTAAAGGCAATCGATCAACTTATATGGCAAACAACGAAACAATCCCTTCAAATCCACTAGTTATTGGTCTCAATACAATAGAAGAATACTACTTACTAGTCTGGCTCGAAACGCCGAAGCCGGGGACAGCCCAGCCGGGTATCTCCACATCTCCAGACCACGCTTCCGTTACCCCAGACTGGGCTTGTGGAGGTCCATCCAGGTTCTCTTACTGTACTACCGCATTCGGGCTAGCAAGCATTGTCGCGTTCGATTGTTCCAGCCATTTTCGGTCAGATGCAAGACACTAGTTGGGAGACGAAGAGGCAGCTCTGGACTCGCGTACTGCCACATGGGTATACGAGATTAGTTGAAAAGTCTCCGACACGATTCGCCAGAGTCTGGAAGTGGTAAATCCCGGGGCGGTATCAGCTTTGTCTGATCTGAGGCTGTATGCAAGTAGAAGAAGATAAAGCTATTCAAGAGAGAGCCTCACTGAGCCAAGAAGACTCTCTCTCCGCACTGTCATCGCCAACACGTGCTAAAGACCAGGCATTGAAAATCATCACCTCCACGACGAGCAAAGATGAGGTTCAGGACCTTGCGTGAACTCGGACATGAGCCGTCCGAGGTGACTCTTATCGATACTCCTGCGACTGAGGAGCTGCATCAACCTCACCTTCGCGGCACGGATATCATCTTGGTGCCAGCTCCTTCCAACGATGTCAACGACCCTCTTCGATTTCCGGCATGGAAGAAGTGGGCTATATTCGCCAACATGTGGATGTTGACCTTCATGGTCAACTTCTGGCTTGGCGGCCTCGCACCTGGTTTCTATCTTTTGACTCTGGAGTTCAACATTGATGCTTCGCAAGCGACGGGTCTGTTGTCGTGGTGCTTCGTGGCCGCTGGCGTTGCCGTGAGTCAAGTTGCTGCTTCCCTTTTAGCTTTGCGCGTGGGACTGACTGAAGACTTATGAAGAATCTGTTTTGGGTGCCAACCTCTGAGTACATTGGGAGAAGACCAGTGTTCATCCTCAGCAGCATCCTGCTATTTGTATGCCAGATCTGGTCTGCTTCCTCAAAGTCCTATGGAAGCATCCTCGCGAGCCGTGTGGTTGGGTCCTTCATGGGAACCCTGGTCGAGGGTTTGGGACCCGTCATTGTGAACGTGAGTCCGAAACACCTGACCTTCGCGGATTCCTCAATGACTGACTCCGATCCAAGGACATCTTCTTCTTGCATGAGAGAGGAAGTAAGATGGGTCTCACGGTTCTTGGAATATACTTAGGCAACTCGCTAGGCACCGTCATCACTGGTTTCATTATTCAGGGTGAGGTCGCAGTTTGATCTAACGTTAATTATCAACCATTACTAACGAGTTTCCTACAGCTTTGGGTTGGCGCTGGTCGTCCTGGGTGTGTTCAATTTTCTCTGGAGTCAATATGCTCGGCATCGTCTTCCTCTTTCCTGAAACGCGTTGGAATCGGGCCAAGGACCCCCTCGACACCGGTCACCAAGCTGCCGAAGGAGACGATCAAGCGAGCGAGAAAATGCAGGACAAACCCGAAGGGGTCTGGCACACCGATGAGGCTGTCGAGCAGGGCAATGGATCGAGTGCACTCCGTGGCGTCAAAAAGAGCTACTTACAAGAGTTGCATCCATGGTCTGGAACCACGAAAATGTCTCTTGTCAACCACTTGGTTAGGCCATTGCCACTGGTTTTCTACCCTGCCGTCGCCTATGCTGTCTTGATGTGTAAGTAAACGACCTGAACTGCCATTTAGCATCTCCTTGTCTCCTTGTCTTGACTGACTTGTGTTCTCTAGTCTCCATTGCTACCTCTTGGTTAGTGGGCGCTGGCGTGTTGAGTTCCTTCATATTCCAGGTCCCTCCATATAACTTTTCCCCTGGAGTCAACGGACTTGTTCAAATTCCTGGTTTCAGTAAGCATTGGTCTCTCTCATGCCTCTGAGAACACTTATTGTGACAACTCGCACTATATGATCCGGTGGCTAACGGTATACTTCCTCCACAGTCGGTAATATCGTCGGTGCGGTATCAGGTGGCCTCCTCAGCGACGTCTACGCACGCCACCGCGCACGCCACAGTGCTGGTGGCAAATTCAAACCAGAGTTCAGGCTACCTTTACTCATCATCCCAGCCATCATAGTTCCCTGCGGACTGTTCATGTGGGGTTACGGTGTACAGCGAGGATGGCACTGGGCCATCTTGTACGTCGGCTACGGCTTCATCGGCGTTGTCTCAGGAGCCCATGTCATTGTCATGACCTACGCGGTCGACTCGTACGTTGAGGTCGCCTCGGATGCATTGACCGTGATCAACAGTCTCAGGGCTTTTGTGGCATTTGGTTTCATCTATGCTGTCGTTCCGTGGACTACTGCAGCCGGCTATGCTAGCGTGAGTTCATTTTCTCTCCGCTGCTAGTAATGTTTTGAGTTATTCTGGACGCTGATGCTAATCACTATGCGTTGATCAGACATTCGCGACCATGGCAGGTATCTGGTGGGCTATCTTGCTCATCGCCGTGCCACTCTACTTCTTCGGTCACAAGATCAGGTCGTTCACTTCGGCGAGCTGGAAGATTGTCTTGGCTTGAGAGTTTGAAAGAAGATGAGATTTGAGGGGGGAGTGCAAAAAATGCAAGGTGGAGGATGGAGGTTGCCCGGAAATATCATAAAACTTCAGTGCAGTTCGAGGGCGAAGTGTGTGTGACTGCAGTGGTCAGAGAATCTCGCCTCTGGCCGAGAATGCGTTTCAGCATTGGAGGTCATACAACAGAGACTAGTACCATAGTTACAGCAAATAGTGTATCACTCTGTTACCTAAGTGTGTCAGGACCAATAACTCATGTTTGTGGTGTCGGACCATAATGGGCGTTATTTCTAGAATACAGGCTGCCGCCAGTGTTGACAGATCGTGCAGGCTCAATATCACAAGTTAGAGAAGCAATTCTTTGAAAGGGTATTCGGGCGGTCCCTCGTAGTAAATATCTGGTTTCAGCATACCTAGTATCTACACGATAGGTTACGGAAGTCTCAATTTGTTCCTATCACGGCTGCCTCCAGGATCAATGGATGAATTTTGCCATACACCACGAGGCTGGTGATCTACGATCAACTTATTTTCCTGGCCCTGGAACCTGACATGAAGCCTCCTCTCCTCTCTTCTTTTCCTTCTTTACCTCCTTCAGGATGTTGGACCAAGACTCAATGACTCAAGACCTTCGCGTAACCCGAACACGGATCCCAATCTGTTTGTTGAACCAGAAATTCTGCGTTTGCCACGTCTTGTGCGGATCGACAGGCTCGAGATGGAAGTTGAGTAGGACCAGAGGTACCAGCTTATGGATCTCGGCTAGTGAGATCTGTGGATATATAGTTAGTATTTGTCTTAATCGGCACCCTTGTGGTCTGATTTGGAAGGCAAGGATTGTGCGCAAGAAGGAGTGGAAATCGCTTGAAGTATGAAACAGTCCTTGACTTACGTTCTTCCCAATGCATGTCCTTGTGCCCGCTCCAAATACCAGGCTGTTTCTGTCCATCTTGCTGGCTTGGATCTGGTCGCCCTTCTCACTCTCAAGCCACCGGTTAGGTCGAAATTCTGACGCGTCCGACCCATATGTGGCTTCGTCGTATCCGAGCACGGCGGCGTTCATGCCCACGCGATAACCCGCAGGGATGAATCTGCCTGCGACCACTAATCCGCCTGCGGGAGATACACGAGGGAGTTGCAGGCCGACGGCAGGATGCATACGTAGGGCTTCTTTGATCGTGGCGCACAACAAGGGCAGTCGAGACGCCTCGCTGAATTTGACCGGCTTGCTGATTTGCCCAGTCTCGGCAGCCTCGTCGAGCTCTTTTTGGAGTTCTGCATAGGCCGCGGGGTTTTTCAGGAGATAGTAAAAGCAAGCTCTCATAGCGATTGCTGTCGTGTCGGATCCAGCAAATCTGCATTTCTCGTCAGCTTTTGAGACATCTCTGCTTGGTAGATGCGTGATGCTTAACAAGACTCACAGTGCAGTCAGTGACAGGAGTTCCACTTCACCCATGCCAAAGTCGACTTGTCCTCCTTTGGTCTGGAGGATGGTCAAAAACTTCTGCAAGAGATCGCTCCGGACACTGCCCTGTTCTTTTTCGAGCTGAATGCGGTCCGCCACACATGTTTTCGCAACTTCAGCAATCTTCGGCATCGTTTGCATCGCCTTGCGAGAAGATGGACTGAACATGGCCCACAGCTTGAAAAGGCCCTGATATGGTTTCGGAGTCATGGTCATCGTGGTGATGAATGGCAGAAAGCTGTCCAATGCCTCAATGTAGTTTCCATGATCGCAAGCGCCCTCCATGAAACCAAACATGCGCCCGAAAAAGAGTTCACCGATAACATCGAATGCGTACCTACGCGAGACAACCTTTAAGTTTCTTCGCCGAACCAATTTAAACAATTAACTTACCACTGCACCCATTCTCCAATGTCCATAACACTTTGATTGTCCGCATACTCGCCCATACGTCGAATGAAGAGCTCCGAGCATTTGTTGATATACTCCTCGAGCGACAGCACCGTCGACAGGCTAAACACGTTGTTGACGATCCTTCGACGCTGCGAGTGAAGCTGCTCATTGGTCTCACTGAAAAGATCTGCGTATTTAGAGATCCCGGGATATCCCCATGGAGGATAAAAGTTTGTCTTGACTGGAGGGCTTTGACTTGGGTAGACAGTCTTGATAGCCTCCGGATCCGAGCATAGAACCTCGTCTGGGGCGATGCGAACCACCGGGCCATAGCGTTTGTGCAGTTCACGTTGCACATACTCGATTCTGCCGCTGGAGATGTGGTAGACCTGCCACAATCGAGAGACGGATCCCCAGAACGGACCCGGGATTCTGCTCAAAGGATGGAACAATTGGGTGTAAACCACCCACGCCAGAAAGTATATGGCTACTGGCAAGACGAAAAAGAGAGGTAGACCCAGGTGCCCGCTATTCTCGAGGAGCTCAAACTTAGCACCACCATCAGATGGAGCCATTGTTGAAGTTGGTGATGCTCTCTAGCTGATGGAGGCTGTAGTTCGTGGTCAGGACAATGACTGCAGAGATCCAAATGAAAATCGCAATCTGCCAGAATCGGCCAACATTGGAGACAATCTGGAACCCCAGAGAGTGACGAACAAGTCTTGATGTTGAAAGTTGACAGACATGCCTGATACCTTCCGATCGGCCATACTTGAAAGAGGCAGCGCCGTGGAATGCCGAGGCTAGACCGTATATGCAGATGCTCAGCAGTTTCGAAGCAGAGCCAACGCCGACAGGGTGGCAAAACCTGAAGAATTTTATGCTCGGAGTCCCGGTGATGTGAGGAGAAACCGGTGGTTCTTCGTTTGTTGAGCCTGTTCCGACTTTGATTGCGTTCCCGAAGTCGCGTGGCAAGAAAATACGAGTTTCAATCATTGCGACTTGCGGAAAGGTACTAGCGTTACAACGCCGTCTGTTTGTGCAAAATTCTGAAGGCTTAAGGGGAAATAAGTCTGCGCAACATGCTTGGATAGTTTATTCAGGCAGCTTTTGTTTTGTATATTGACCTGGCAAGCTCGTGTCCTCGTTCGCGTCGCTGCTTGAGCAGAGATACAGTATACCAGTGATGTCGGCGACCACCACATTCGCTGCTGCGCTTGCACATACCTTTATAGCTCTTGGACATACGGTGTGTATTGTGGACTCTCCTCGGGATAACCTGGTGCTCGAAGTCACATTTGCGTCTCAGTGGCTAGAATCTGCGAGCTGCTGTTGACATGAAATTTGCAGTATCGAGGTGTGGAGACCTTCTCACTGCCGCCATACAAGTCCCTACCTCCTCTTCTGCGTTGTTTAGCTGTGGTGGGCTGGTATCAAGGGAGCGCCTTCTTTTCCATTGCAGGTGAGCATTGGTTGAAACCTTTTACCTCCAGGTCTCGTTGGTTGTGGTTGAAGCTGACAATAAAATGAAAGCTCTGTTCAATTATCAACTGTCGAGACGACATCGAGATGCCTGGACTGCTGTTGACCGCACAATCATGGGTATCCTGGTTATAATATACTGGGCGAGCAGCACCATGTATTTCAGGAATGGGGACACGCTTACTGGAGCTCTCACCACAATAATTGGAACTCTGCAAGCTGCATCTCTTACCTCTTGAGAGCAATAGCTCGCGATTCTGAGAAACGGTTGGTCACCAGTGCCAGATAGTCGTGACTCAGAGCAATGATAGTCTAATAAAGGGTATCGCATTGCTATTGCGAGATTGAAACGCTGCAACTGTTTAAATGGCCTTCTCTTGCACAGGCGGTACTTTAGCAGAGGTATTCTGAATTTAAAGTCGTCCGACTCTCAACTACATGTCGTTGCTCGAAGCCAGTCAAGTCACGCGACCTTTTTCCCATTAACAGGGATTTCGGTGAGATCCGATGGATGCTCTGACAGATGGCACGACCACGTTTGTTGGCCTCGACGCAGCTGCACCCACAATCGGGACGCTGGGGAAGACTCCAGGACGTCAAGATAATTCGTCCGTGTAGAACTCTAAGTTGCTCTCGTTCCCATACTCGCACGTCACGGCATCGGCAAATGCTGGATTGGGCTTCGCGAGTCTCGGCGGTGGTGTTTGCATCTCGGCATGTAGACCTCTACCTCACGGCGCGGGGTTTCTTCAACTTCGACGACGGGAGGTTATGCCTCCAGGTCGCTACCTAGGTATGTATGTACGTCAACGGAAGCACATGCTCTGTGAGCGACGGCTCACCACCTTGGATCCATCGTCACAAGTATAGTCATGAGCACTACCGCGCACCGGCCGACTGGATACGCAGGCAAGCTCTATGGAAAGCGGATTTTGGTTCTGGGGGGAACTTCGGGCATTGGCCTAGCAGTCGCTCAGGCCAGCCGAGAATTCGGTGCGACAGTCATGGTGTCCAGTTCCAGTGAAGCCAAAATCGACTTGGCAATTCAAAGAATCCAAGCGGTCGAGCCGGGTCGCAGCAATGGCGAGGTCCTCGGCTACCCCTGCGATCTGTACGACTTGGACCGGCTGGAAAGCAACCTAAGAGCTCTATTCGACCACGCCACGGAGCGAGGCATTCGAAGACTCGATCACATCGTCTACACAGCCGGCAACAAGGTGGGATCGATCCCACTAGGAGACACAGACACAAAGCTGATCACCGAGCACGGCATTCTGCGCTTCTATGCGCCAATCATCATTGGAAAGCTCGCCTCTAAGTACGTCACTAGTAGTCCCGGCTCGTCCATTACCTTCACCAGCGGTGTGAATAATGTCAAGCCCATTCCTGGACGAGTGCTTATGGCGGGTTGGGGGGCCGGCGTGGAGGGCGTCACTCGGGCTCTCGCCGTCGACCTGCGGCCGGTCCGAGTCAACTGCATCTGTCCGGGTCCGACAAAAACGGAACTTTTTGACGGCTTCCCCGAGGATGTGCTCCAGCCTCTGCTGGAAAAGTATAAAGGCTCGACCATGACTGGGACTATTGGCACCCCGGAGGATATGGCTGAACCGTATCTGTACTGCATGCGGGACACATTTGTAGATGGTACGGTCATCCACTCCAGCGGAGGCTATCTGCTGGCATGACCGGTCTGTGTATGACATTCCGATAGACTCAGTATCTCAGATTCTTTGGATCAATCGACTTCCGCGAGCTTCAATCTCGGCCCAGCCGAAAGGTCAAGCAATGCGATTAGAACAAAGACCGAGCTATGGCTCAATGTCTGCTCTCCGAAAACCAGTAGCTCGGGAAAAGGCCGACTGGGCGAGGTATCGTTCACCCAATTATTGAATAGGCACTGCTAGGCCGGCGGCTTTTCTACATTGTTCTCGTATATATACTCATTCAGTCGGGTCAATCCATCCCTTCACCATCTCACTGGCTATTACAGCTCCATTAGGCCATCGCCACGTCGGTCAACGCATCTATTTGGCAGTTTTCGGACCACCGCAGCATGTCGCAATACCCTCCTTTCCCGAACAGAGACAGATTTCCCAATCTCAAGGACCAGGTGGTCGTGATCACCGGCGGGGCCAGCGGCATTGGTGCTGCTCTTGGGACGCTTGCTTATCGCCACGGAGCGCACGTCATGGTAGGGGACATCAATCCGAGCACTGGAGATACCCTGGTCCAGACTCTACAATCAAATAAGCCTTCGTCGGGCGCCAACGATCTCACATTCCGATCCTGCGACGTGTGCAAGTACGGCGACCTCTACGCCTTATTCCGCGCAGCGCACGACAAGCATGGCCGTGTCGATCACGCTGTCTTCTGCGCCGGCATTGTCGACAGTCCGTCTTCGTCGTATTTTGGCCCTGAAGTAACCATCGACTCTGTGGGCAGGGAGCCGGGTGATCTGCGCGCTGTCGAGATCAATTTCATGGCCGCCTGCTCGTTCGCCCGGGTCGCGCTACCCTTCTTACGACGTGACGCCAAGCCAGGCCAGAGTAACACGGTGTCGAGAGGATCTCAGCCATCTCCCGGCCCCAGCCTGACACTCCTCTCCAGCGTGACGGGTTTCCGCGACGCGCCAGGCATGTTTCTGTATCAGACGTCCAAACAAGCGATCCTGGGCCTAATGCGTGCGCTGCGGACGGTGGTCTTTGCGCGCGACGGAATTCGCGTCAACGCGGTCTGTCCGGGAATGACCGACACACCAATGACCAGTGGCAGTGGACTGATCGATCTGTTCAAGCACAGGACGCAGGAGGATCAAGCGAAACTGCCCTCGCACTATCAGTCGGCGAATGCTGTGGCCGAGCACATTGCGGCGATCCTGCTGACGGACGGGCTTAACGGGAAGAGTATCTACGTCGAAGAAGGCAAGGGATGGGATTTTGAGGATGGTCTCTTCCGAGAGATGTCACGATGGCTGGGCGCCGAGCCGATGCGGTGGTCGGATGAGAATCTGGCCTTTCTCGCCCACAGCTTTGGCGGGACCTGACCTAGGTCTCCCTTGAGCATCCCCTGAAGCAAATACAACTCCAAGGGCGATGGAATACCCGGAACTCGGAAACGACTTCTTCTGGTCTGTGTCCGAGGTCTACCCTTCCTGATTCCCGCCGCATAACGGCCATATCGATACTTATAGGTCGACCCATACACAACGTCAATTGCCGTCAAAGGCAAGCGGATTCCAGAATAACCAGTCGCCGATTGTATCGTTGGCTTCTCCGGCCTCCTCTTGAAACATTCGATCAAATGACATGACCTCTCCCGGATCCGGCGGTTCCAGCTCCACGGCCGCCATCTGATTGAGGTGGTCTTCCTGGGAATAGAATGGTATTCCTCGAGGCTTCAAGAGACCTCCTCCTGCAGGTGGGTTGGGAGCATGTGGATTAATTGCGTCAGCGTTTGCCAAGGCCATGTCTCTTGTGTCTCGTCCGTTATTGATCACTGGCTTTTGCACCAGTGCAGCATACATCCGGCACAACTTCATGTCACAAATTTCAAAGAAGACAGCCTCGTACGAAGTCAGAGAGCAATTGCAGGTGCTGGTGACCTTCATCTGCGTGGCGACTGTGAGCTTAAACATCCGGTCAAAACTGCTGAGACTACCGATTGCCGTAGGCCACCGTTTCTTCATCTCTTCTTGAGCCTGGTTTAAGATCTTCAGGTCCTCCTGCGCCAGCTCCCATAGGTCGGGATACTTATAGCACGAAAGTAGCGCAATAGAAGCAGCCAGGAGGTGGAAGCTGAAGGCCGGGCCGAGGAACCGAACCTCATCGCGAGCAAGGAAGTCTTCAAATACACCTGCCATGGTAGACGCCGCCACCACGGCAGCCGTGGGGAAAGGTCCATCAAGGCTCCTGGACCGACGTAGGAGAATAATGGTCGTGAGGTATAGGACATTGAGCTGGCGGCTTTCGAGATTGTAGGTCCGCAATGGTTGAGACGGGTTCGTCGGGCGATCGGCGCTGTAAGAGGGCCGGAGTATCTCTGGGAGGTTTTTCGTCCAGCGATACAAGCAGTCTTCAATCCCGGTAAGAGAGTCGTTGGAGGAAGCTTTTCGAATCTCCTTCTGAGTGAATCGTCCTATAATCAACGATAGCTCGACATAGGCAATAAAGAAAGACCCGGTCAGTGGAGCGCCGGGGAAGTCGTCCAGAGTCGGGAGAGGGATGTCACAGTCTTCGAGAGCTATTGCTTGTGGTCGTCCATGTGCAACACTGATAAGGCAGTCGCGGGCCTAGACCCTAGTCAGTCAAGTCTCTAGAGGGACACCAACTCGGCACTAGGGAGACAGGATAGTAGCGACTGACCACGATAGACCACCACAAACGGCGGCGCAAGGACTCATCGGGTACGGCCTTCGCCCTGCTGTGAAGTCCCATTTGCTGAGCTAGGCTTACAGTAATTCGACACCAAAAGCTGCTGGTATTTGTAGATACACGTTCCGGCCCATGTGGATTCCACCAGTGCATCAGAGACGAGGCAATCAAGCGATCCACGGGGTCCTTCTCGTAGTCAAGCCAGAAGAGCGTCTTAGCCCGTGTGTAGTACTCTTGGGGCGAGGCAAAGGTACGCGGCTGCGATGGCGAGATCATTTGACTGCCGGCGAGGAAGATTGTCTGAAGCAGCAGAGGTGATATCTTGTCCAGTTCCACGCCAATTACCTGAGATCGGTCGACTATGGGGTCCCACGCATAGCAATACGTCCAGAAATTTTCAAATAGGGAGTCCCGGATGGCACGAGGGGGGAACTTGAACGCGTTCTGCAGCGTGGCGATTTGTTCCGTGGCGTCCGGGGGAGGAGGCACGACATAGTCAATTTCCAAACCGTCTTCGGCGCGAAAATTGTCGGGGGCCATGTACGTCGAACGCTCCATGTGTCCGCCTTCGCAGCTACTTGAGACGCTTGAAAGAGACAGCACGGACGGTGAAGGACCATGATCATGAACTTCGGTGTTTTCTCCTTGCGCGGGACCCTGCGCACGGCTCTGCGTCTGTTGATGATGCAAGCTGTTCACCGGCGGGCGTGGCTCCTCTCCTACTTGCGATGGTGCTGCTCGAGGTGGCGCAGTAGTGGTAGTGGTCCTTGAAATCCGACCCGCGTCGGCTGCGGGCTGGGCTGTGGCGGCAGGCTGGTCGGGACTCTTCCAGGAAGACATTGTCGCCTTGAGAGGATGTCCTCTCCGTTGCCGTGGCCTCTGCCGACACTCTTGTGCATCTCGCTGGCAGTTGGAGCATTGCGGCCTGGTCGGTCCGATATCGCATTTGACCTTGCGACTATGGCACAATTCACATGCCCGGCTTGTGCGAGGGGCTCTCTCGAGGCGCGAGGTGTGGCGCCCGACGTGGACGTTCATGTCAAATGCCATGGCCAAGGTTATTTAAGCTGGGAGCCCTGTACTGGCCACGAAGGTCACCTCGCGGCAAGCTGTTGCAGGTTTCTGCTGAAGTTACGGAGAGGAGAATCCGGGGAAGCTGGGGAAATTGCATGACCCCAGCAAAAAGGCGTACAAGGGTCCAGTCGCGGGCAGGAAGTTTAACGCTCGGCAATTTCCTAGATGGGCTAGATAGCACGTGCGACCGAGGCTCGACTTGGACGTCACTCGGAGCGTAGTGTGGGTGACATTTTCACGTGCTTAGCCGCCGGCTGCTCGTTCTAGTTGCCTAGCCTCACAAGGAAGATGATAGTATATGAGACAGCAGATGTATTCATCAGCACAAATTCAGGCACAGAGGTCTTGACGCTCGACAAACAGCATCGACATGGACTCCAACGGACAAGTCCCCATTAAGTTCGATTCGTTTGCGAACATCATCAACGGTCAGGTTGCTGGCTCAGCTCACTCATACTATGGCATCGATCCGGTCACCAAAGAGAAACTTTGGGACGTACCAGTCGCGACTGCAGAAGACGTGGAAAATGCAGTGGCCAGTGCCAATACTGCTTTTTCGCGCTGGAGGCACACTACGTGGCAATTTCGAACGGAGCAGATCTCCCAGTTTAAGGCCGTCTTTCAATCTTACCAGGACCAACTGGTAGATCTGCTCGTTAGAGAAGCAGGCAAGCCTCGGATGGTCGCTATGGGAGAGATACAGACGTGTGTGCAGCTACTCGACTGGCATATCAAGCTTAAAGAGCCTCGAGGCGAGAGCTATGACTTTCCAGACAAAACGATCGAAAACAAGTTTGTACCTTTGGGCGTGGCCGTGGCGATCTGCCCTTGGAACTTTCCGCTGCTAATCAGCACGGGAAAGTGGTTACCGGCGATACAAATGGGGAACAGCGTCATCGTCAAGCCGAGTCCGTTCACACCGTGCGTGAGCTGGCCATTCTTGAGAAGATATCCAATTAAAATACTAGTACTGACTCGTCTGACACAGCTACGCGACTCTCAAAGTTGTAGAGCTGGCGAACCAGATATTCCCTCCCGGTGTCGTGCAGGTACTTGGAGGGGACGATTCACTTGGTCCTACGCTCGTAGAGCATCCTCGAGTCCATAAAATCAGTTTCACAGGCTCGATCGCTACAGGAAAGAAAATTTTAGCCGTGGCAGCAAAAACGGTCAAACGAGTCACTTTGGAACTGGGAGGTAACGACGCATCGATAGTCCTGCCAGACGCCAACATAGGGAAAGCAGCGCCTATGGTTGCCATAGTGAGATTCTCGCCACCCGCTTGTCTTTTGAGCTATACCTGAGATGAGCCGCTTGCTGATTGTTCTGGACAGGGCGCCTTCTTCAACACATCTCAAGTCTGCATTGCTGCGAAGCGGATCTACGTCCACTCATCCATCTACCGACCATTCTTAGATGCTTTGGTGAATGTCACGCGCTCGTTCAAGCTCGGGACCACAGAGAACGAGGGATTTGCGCTGGGTCCCATCCAAAACGCAACGCAGTACGACAAGGTGAAGACGTTCCTCAAAGATAGCAAAGACAGAGGCTACAAATTCGCCCTCGAACCCGACGAGGGGGCGGTCGACACCATGAACGGTTTCTTCCTTCAGCCCGCTATCGTGGACAACCCACCTGAAGACAGCAAGATCGTGAAAGAAGAGCCTTTCGGCCCAATTGTACCCGTTCTGTCTTATGACAGTATTGAGGAGGTGGTCGATCGCGCTAATAATTCGAATACTGGCTTGGGAGCGACGGTGTTCGGAACCGACCCTGAAACACTTCGGCGCGTGGCAGACGGCCTAGAGGTTGGCAGTGTCTGGATCAACGGATATCCCAGTGTCGCTCCTGAAGCACAGCTCAGCGGAGCTAAAGAGTCTGGCCTTGGAACCGAGTTTGGTACTCTCGGAATTCTCGCCTACGCCAACACCAAGGCTATCTGGACGTTCAAATCCACCTAAGTCGGGGGATCTTACACGAGTAGGAAATGAAGTGAAAAGGTGATATGACAAATATCACGTATTCTTCTTGACTCTACCATGAATACATAAGCACCCTAACCCATAATAACCTCTTCTACCTCAGAATAACAAGGAAAGCTTCGGCTGCCTGTAACCGTCGACTGTATGCGGTATGAGGCGGCGTTCGTGGACAGGCTCGTTTTTGTCAATGTCTTTCATCTCTTCGGTCGAGTCCACTCCGTAGTTACCACGATACTCACGATCCGTGCTCTTATTGACCACCCAGATCTCGTAGTACTCTCTCAGTTCGGCCATGACCTCGGGATCCCACAGCTCCAGTGGCTCGTTGCCCAACCCAACCTCGCGGATATTGCGGTTTCCGCACATGAGCGACAGCCAAAATTCATTCATGGCCATATACTGCACGATGCACCCCGTAATTTCACCGGCGAGCAGTCTCTTGCACAGATCAAACTCGAGGATCAGGGGACGTCCAAGGCCGATACCGTCAACCGTCTCGAGCGCCCTAACCATGCCGCCTACCGTGCGGAGCCCTCCCGTCACGTAGGTCTTGGTCTTAGTCAAGCCCGGAACGATTTTCTCGGCAAATTCAAGGAAATAAGCTTCGCGTTTCATCGTCGACTCTCGTACAGGCTCGCCTTCATGCTCGGCCCCTGTCATGGTATTCTCGGACGACCCGCCGCTGAGTTCCACAAAGTCGAAGCGGTGTGCCTCGAGCATACGACATACCTTGGCGGCATCCTCGACGGAGAGATCTGACTCTTGAAACTCGACACTGTTAATTTTAATGCCCAGGATGAAGGTTCTGGACACCCGCTTCCGAATGGCGACTTCGAGTTCTTCGTAGATGCGCATCCGGTTCTGAATGCTACCTCCGTATTGATCCGTCCGAATATTGGTCCGCACATTGAGAAAGCTCGATAGAAAAAAGCCGTGCGCCCCGTGGACTTCCATCCCGTCGAATCCTGCCTTCTCAATGTATTCGGCGGCATGGGCAAAGGCGTCGATAATGGTCCTAATTTCTTCGTGGGTTGCCTCGTGGGGATCGGCGAAATGCACGGGCTTCTTATCGACCTGTGTCACGTTGACTGCAGAGGCTGATACCGGGGATTTTTGGAAGTATTCGTTGGACAATCGACCGGGATGCGATACCTGGGGGAGAACGATCGATCCTTGGCTCTTGCCAGCAGCCGCCATTGCCTTGAAGGCTTCAAATCGTTCCCCATGGAAAGGCGCATCCGGCGGTATTACAGGGTCTCCCACGGACTCGAGGTGATCAGGAAAAATCACTGTCGGGTTAATTTAGCTTAGCTGCTGTATGGAAGGTCGGTCAAGGTTACAGCCTACTGAAGTTGCCCGTGAGGATTACCCCAATTTCACCCTTGGCCCAACACTCGTAAGCCCTGATCAGACTCCTTGTGGGAATACCGCGTTTGGATAAGTCGGTTGGGTGCCAGGACGACAGCTGCTCCGTCATGGCTGCTTTCATAAAGCGGTTAGAAGCCGTTCGGCCAGAGAATTCGAAGTGCAAAGGCTGCGCCAGAGGCGTGACGTCTTTGATATCGGAGACATAACGTCGAGGTTCGGTCGCGCCATAATTGCCCATTGTCACACCGCGGGGGTAAAGTTGTCGGACTCTCCTAGAAGTTTTCGAGGGTGCAAAGCCAAGAGAAAGCCTCAGTAGCAGAATAGTTGAGCCCCGAATGTTGGCCTCAATAGGCCATCGGGCTGACTAAATATCCACTCAGGGGTCAAGAACTATCGCCTCTTGCGCCTCCAAAGATCCAGTTTTGCGACGGTTGATCACCTTTATTCCTGGCCCACCTTCGGCGTCAAGGCTGGTGACGCCGATTCTAGACCGCCCCGCCTCCCACCTCTTGGAAAGCCTCGCGAAATCCCCACAAATGGAGCCATTTCTTCTGTTAGTTGTGAAGAGCCTGCCGAAGAAGAATGAATCGTCAAGCCGAGATCGCTGTCGTCGTCCGTTCGGCATTTTCGGGCGCTAAAGCAGTTCATCGGAAATTTTCGGCTGTTACCGGAAATGGATAGTCGCATCAATCTAGTCAGAGTGTTTATTGGCGGTAGTGGTCTATTTCTTGCCTAGATCACCATGATGCTCAGGTAATTGTTTTAATTTTGACCCTGCTCTGCTCGCTCGGCCGCGGCAGGAAACAGCTTCCAGGTATTGTCTCTCACGGTACCCTGGTCGACCCCGGCTTCTGCCTCTAGTCTCGAGATGTCACGCAAGTTTTCGTCCATACTATCCCAGGATGAGCAGGGGGTGCCACAATCGGCCCCATAGATGCAATGATCCCATCCCACCATCCTCACAGCAGCAGGGAGGCCGGTTTTGGCCGTCGCCGCAGTGTCAACGTACAGCTTGGACAGCTGAGTCTCAATCTCCTCTCTCGTGATATTCTCTGGATTAGGAACCCAGTACTCCGTGCCCAAAAGAGCCAACCGGCCAGAGAGCGCAGGTAGGGCGCCACCACAATGGCCGAAGATGAATTTGATATTGGGATACTTCCTGAAGATCCCTTTGTACAGCATATCCGTGGCCACTCGCGCCGTGTCAAACGCCACATCGATCAGGGCCGACGGCTTGCCATATTGACCAGGAAGAAAGGCATTAGGGTGCAAATGTAGCACGGCACCTTTGGAATCCAAAAGATCGTATACGGCACTCAGCCGGGGGTCTGACGGTAGGACGTTATTGTACTGCGTCATCATAGCATACCCGTCGGGCTTCGCTCCCTCGTACTCTTCACCGCGTTGAATTTCAGCCAGGCATGCGTCCACACTGTCAGTCGGCAGCGCAAGTAGGTGACCAAAACGGGACGGGTATCTCTTAACTATCTGGCGAGCAAAATCGTTTCCTTCTCGCAGCTTCTCGTGTGAATTAGGCGTGAAGCTGAGCAGCGACATGGCAACGCCCGCATGGTCATTGTATTTGATGACGCCCTCTGCCGACCAGTGCAGCTGTGAAGGCTTTTCCACCATGAAATGTGCGTCGCGTAGCAGATTCACATACCCACGCACAATTTCGTCGGTCATGCCTGGGAAAAAATGGCAGTGTACATCAAGATAACCTTTCGGTGCCATGGTGACAACTCAATGACGAAATTATCCAATATGAAGCGGGCAAAAGGTCAAGGTCAAGGTCAAGGTCAAGGTCAAGGTCAAGGTCAAGGTCAAGGTCAAGGTCAAGGTCAAGGTCAAAGGTCAAGGTCAAGGCGTTTTTTTCAAAAAGAACAGAACAGAGGTATTGGCAATATTGGCAATATGTTCTTGACTCTGCCGCAAATTACCTACTTGTACGTCATGTCGAGCTCCATTGCTGTATTAGTCGATCTCTGGAGATTCGGCACAATCAATTCTGCACATCGTCCCACACGCTCGGCATTTTAGACACTGATCGATCGTCCGGAAAGTAGTTCAACCTTAGATTCAGACGCAGACCGGAGATAACGGAGCCACGCGGAATTTTGGCGGAGTCAAATTCTGGAGAACTTGGGGCCCCCATGACCTGGGACCTCCACAACATAGTTCGCTGGCGTGCGACCTTGGATTTCAACACCCGGTCTCAGATGTACCGGAAGATACTCAAAGTGGCAGCTTTTACACCCTATCGTGGAAACCTAGGTGCTCTCACCGCCTTTGCTAAAGGACTAGTCGCTATTCATGTGAAAGCGAAATTTCGCTAGTCTCAAATGGCTCAGCTACCAGCTCGGACATTGGGGATCCTAAGTTAGATGAGACCGTTTCCCGGACCTGCTCGGCCAGGATTCTGTGGCAAACGGAGGCCACATAAGTAGTCTAACAAAAGGAACGACCCTCACTCGACCTAAGGTGGTCAAGTCCTTTCTTCACTCCCACTTCTACACACTCGACTCGAGCGTAACCTCAGGAGCACTAAGCTGGTCTTCAATCGGTGGAACGCTTAAAACCCCTCTCTGTTGAACGTCCAGGCAAGCTTCAGACGTGCATGCTGAGCTTCATTGTACCAATAGCGGTTGGACTTTTCCACAGAATACAGCCAAAGCAAATTGATCACCATAAGCCAATTTGGGCAACACGATGGGATCTGCAGGCCTTAAGCTTCATGAGCTGCTTGACCTTCCTCAAATTCCCGCGAGACAAACGGCAGCAGTCAGAGAAGGTAGTGGCACCTCAGCGAAAGTTGTCCTCAAGGAGATCGATGTGCCCAAACCCGGTCCGGGCGAAATTCTAGTCAAGATCAACTGGTAAGTTGCAGCCTGGTGGTCACTGATCGATCGATTCTCATCTCTACTGTAGGAGCGGACTTTGCGCCTCGGACAATGCCTTGGTATACGACGACTGGAAAGATTTCGGCTACTGCATGCAAGATGCGGCCCACGGGATCGTGGGTCACGAGGGTGCCGGGGTCGTGGTCGCCATCGGCGAGGGTAGCGACAACCGATGGAAAATCGGTGATCGAGCAGGCATCAAATGGGTCTACAGCACCTGTGGCGAGTGCGAGTATTGCACCAACGGCAGTGATGAATGCCATTGTGCCAAACAAAAGAACCCAGGCTTCAGTGTACCAGGAACATTTCAGGAATACGCCCTTGCTGACAGCAGGTACACGACGAAACTGCCAGATGGTGTTTTGGATGAAGAGGTGGGTCCACTTGGCCATACTGCTTCAAAATATCGTCCGCTGATTAGGCATACTTCCATAGGCCGGACCGTTGATGTGCGGTGGCGTAACAGGGTTCACTGCGTGCAAACGAAGTGGCGTCAAACCCGGGCAATGGCTCGTCATTCTTGGTGAGTTGAATTCCACCAGAGGATCTCAACAAGACAATCGCTAACTTGACTACAGGTGCGGGGGGTGGGCTTGGGCATCTTGCCCTCCAGTATGCGAAAGCTATGGGCATGCGAGTAATCGGCATCGACGAAGGCGACGACAAGGCTGCACTCTGCAAATCTCTCGGCGTTGACGCCTTCTTCGACTTCACCAAGACCAAGGACATTCCAGCAAAAGTCATGGAGCTGACCACGTACGGTGCTCATGCCGTGCTTTGCTTTGCCGCCTCACAGCAAGCCTACACATCGGCGCCTGACTATGTTCGGGTAGGCGGAGCAGTAATCGTTGTCGGTCTGCCCAAAGACAGCTCTACGATCGCTGGTGCGCCACCTATTGTCTTCACTGGCAAGAGACTGCGGTTTGTTCTATCTCTCCACTTCTGATCTGCCCATGATGAATTAATGAATTTGACCGACAGCCTCGAAGGCAACGTGACCGGTACGTTGAAGGACGTCGAAGAAGCCCTCGACTACACCGTCCGAGGACTTGTGCATCCAATTCTCACCAAAGGAACCTTGGCCGATGTAGAACACTACTGCAAGATGCTTCAACAGTCCAAAATCTCCGGTCGAGCTGTTATCAAGGTTTCGTCGACATCAAAGAATCAGGCTCTGGCGGCACCGCCAATGGAAATAGCCACCAAGCCAGCTTATCTCACCAAGAAGCCTGAGGACCGTCTTTTCATCAACGGAGAATATGTCCCTTCCAAGGCGGGCAAAAATTTTGACGTTATCAATCCTGCAACAGAAAAGATTGCCGCTTCCGTCTACGAAGCAGATGTCGACGATGTTGACCTTGCGGTCCAGGCTGCCAAATCCGCGTTCCCAGCTTGGACTGAGGCGGGTGCGTTGGTACGGTCAGGCCTGCTTCTCAAACTGGCCGATTTGATGGAGAAAAATGCTGACGAGCTGGACTATCTTGATGCCATTTGCATGGGCAAGCCTATCGGAGACTGTACGTTCACTTTCTTCTCCGTCATCCCCAGTTGATCTTTTCGGGCCAGTCCAGTCCCTCTAACCGCTGAAAAATTCAACAGTCTGTGGAGCTGGATTTGCCGCCTACCTTCTGCGTTATTTCGCCGGCAGGTCTATGGATGTGTTGGGCACAAGCTCGCTCAACAGTCCTGGGTTTGTCAACATGGCCTGGCGGCAACCCTATGGTGTTTGTGCTGCTATCATTCCATGGTAAGTCAAACCACAGAGCCTCTGGACGCATGTCCATAATACAGTATGCTAAGTGCGGTTCTTAAGGAATATTACCCTGATCACGATGATTAACAAGATTGGACCAGCTCTCTTGGCAGGCAACACTCTGGTCCTTAAGTCCAGTGAAAAATGCCCTCTTTCCGTCATCGCTTTAGGACGTCTCTGCCAGGAGGCTGGTATTCCAAATGGGGTCCTAAACATTCTCTCGGGCTTCGGTCAGCCTTGTGGTGAGGCTCTAGCAAAACACATGGAGATTCGCAAGCTATCCTTCACCGGTTCTCAGACTGCCGGTCGTGCGATCAAGCGAGCCGCCGCCAACTCAAACCTGAAGAAGGTCACCCTAGAGCTTGGTGGGAAATCACCTCTGCTAATCTTTCCTGACGCCGATCTGAGTAAAGCTATTCCCGCTGCCGCATATTCGATTCTTATGCTGAGCGGCCAAGCCTGCGTGGCGTCGTCCCGGTAAGTTTGAAAATCACGAATCAAGGAACCAAGGGAACCAACGCAGATATGCTGACCATCATGCCTATGATAGGATCTACGTTCATGAATCCCTAGCCGACGAGTTCG